TGTTGGGCGTTTGCCCCATCTATTTTCTGTAGAAGGAGGCGGCCTTCAACGAGGAAGCTGCCAGGAACATGCTGCAGTCACAATTCCAGTTACAGGCAATGGGAAGAAGAGCCCGTTGCCTGTCAGCAAACAGTTAAAGAGCTCCTATTGGCGCCAGGGTGGTGGGCTACTCATGGGGGAGCAACGAACAAAGGAGGGGGCTCTGACCTTGCTGCATGGTGGGCCTGCATCGTCTTTGTTCACCGGCTCTCTGGAGTGAGGTCTTGGCAAACAAGGTGGAAAAGGGCACCCACTCCAGACTCCAGGACCTCGCCTCAGAGGAAGTCACCTCACTCAGACTCTGCCGTGCATCTGCAAGGAGGGATCGTAGAGCCTCCCCTGTTTCTTCCCAGAATAGCCCTTCCCGAGAGAGCAAGCCTCCCATGCCACAAAGACCATCTGAGGCCAGTAGCTGGGCTTGCCCCTTCCCACCCTCCTGCCTGGCACACAGTGGGTGTTCACGGGAGGCTTGTCCAATTGAGTTCTTGGGCATGGTGTGAAAGAGGACTCTTTGCAAACTAAATCGTTCGGAACACTGAGCTTGTGCATACTGTGGAATTCTGAATTTCTGTTTGTTTACTTAGGAGATGGAGGGCAGGGCTCGGTGGCTCAGCCTGTCATCCCAGCACTTTGGGAGGCCGAGGCGAGTGGATTGCCTGAGCCCGCGGATTCGAGACCCTCCTGGGCAACTTGGTGAGACCCTGTCTCTACAATAAATCAAAAATTAGCAGGGCAAGGTAGTGCATGCCTGTAGTTACAGCTACTTGGAAGGCTGGAACAGAAGGATCGCCAGAGCCCAGCAGGTCCACGCTGGAGTGGCTGTGAGCGTGCCATTGCACTCCGGCCTCGCACCAGAGGGAGACTCCATCTCAAACAAATAAACAAAAAATAAGAAGAGATGGAGGACGGAGGGTGTCTTGCTACCTCGCCCAGGTAGGTCGGTCTCGAACTCCTGGCCTCAAGTGATCCTCCTGCCTCAGCCTCCCAAAGTGCTGGGATCACAGGAGTGAGCCACCGTGCCTGGCCTACATAACGTCTTTGCAGATTTGAACCCTGAATCTTTGTAGACTAAATCCCTTGAAATGGTGTGGGCTGGAAACCACAAGCAAGCAGTATCTTCGAGGCCCGGCTAGCGGGCGAAGTCGGGGTGCAGCCGCCGGAGGGGGTCCCTGCTACCTTCAGAGGGATGCCGCGCTCGGGCCGCAGACGAGGC